TCTTTTTAAGTGGGAGAACTTGCACAATTGGTGGCTGACTAAATACTTTTTTTCCCCACTGTACCTGTTTTAGTAGTTGCTGCCGATGTCTAAGAAGATTGACAAAAACGCAAACGATCAGGCCATCCGGTTGGGAGAGTTTGGAGGGAAAAGCGCTAGCTTGTAACCCTATCCCGTCACAGAGAGTGGAGAGGGAGCGATTCCTCTGGCTGTTTGACATGTTGGGCATGTGTCTGTGTAGCCTTGTGTGTGTTGCTACTGCCACTGCAAAATACACCAGGCTTTAATGTGCGATAGCAGATGAGAAAAAACTTTCTAACACGCAGAGTCAGAACAAATATCTGTAATGATCAATTACAGAGTTACGCTAAAGTAGCAATATGCCCTTTCGTTGACCCCTTTCATTGACAAGCAAAACTGAAAAACAGTCATACACCGCACATTCATATTACATGCTGTTGTTCTTTTCCTTAAGGCCTTTGGCATGCGTTTGGCTGCCAAGGTTTTTGAAGCGTAAATTGAAGGGGGTGTTTGAGGGGGGATTGAGAGAGGTGGGGTGTGAATATACAACGCAAGAGCAAAGCACCACCGCTTGCTGCATGTAAAGCGAGACCGATTCAAGACCAAGACTGGGGCAAATCGAGTCCGAGTCGAGAGCATGATTGTAATTATGTCAAATCACCCCCATAATAAGAGTTCAAAATGTCCAGTATTTCTGTGTTCATATTTCAAAACAACATATGGATTCTTTAGACATTCAAAATAGTGAAGAAATGCATGCTGAGGGAAAATAGAGGCACTCTACAAATTATTACTAACCCAAAGACAGTGGGGCCTTCTACGCCTTCAGAGAAGGGCTAAGGATTTATCAAATAATGACTACAATAATATAATAATAATCATATTATTTTCTATTATGTTCTGATTTAATTTCTTCATTTTTGTTGGAAATGAAAGGGTTAACACTGAAGAGAATAAAAATAAATCCAATGAGGATTTTTCTTTGCTGGTCTCTGGGGAGATAAATATAGCTAATCAGCCTTTGGCTAGGCCATCAGAAGCTAGATAAAGGCATCTGCCATTCAACTGTATTAGGGCAACATTTTGGAGTGACAGTGGAATCAACCAATCACATTTTGACTTAATGGGTGGGCCCTATTTACAAAAACTTATGGAACCTGCCTTCTTGAAGGAAAACAGGTCACTGCACAATAGCGAGCAGTAGTTTTCCCACGGTCTAGCTAGCTAGCTTTTGTTGTCGGCTAGTTTGCAGCGGCTGCAGCAGGTGTTATCAAAGACGATGTTGTTGCTAATTTGTTACCTTCTCCCTTTTCAAGAATAACTTTCAACAAGAAGTTAAGTTTCAAATGATCATCATATGGTGAGTGGAACTATTGCAGCGTGCTTGCTGTTGTTAGCCATCTCTTTGAAAATAACTTGTGTGTGAAACAATGTTGCATTTAAAGTGGAACTGACAGCATTTTAGAAACAAGAAATCTCCTTAAAATCTGTTCATATACAACCCCAGGAAGAATATGACACTTTTTAAAACGTTTTCTGACGTATTTCCATAACATTCTAAAGCATTTGTGAAAATTTAATAGCAATATAGAGTGGGAAAGCGGCCATGAGTTTGGACAATTAATCGACACTGCAGTAAATAAAACCAAATAAAAACATCTGTCTTGTCCAGGACCGGAGTCTACACAGACCGGTGCACTATAGCCAATCAGAGCTATAGTAGGCCTTTATACAAACAAGCCATTTGCCACACGGGCTAGTTGGCCGTCGAAATTGCACTGATAAACGATGGGGAATTGTAGCCTCCTCGTCCTTCTGCAGCTTGCCTGCCAATGCATGCTTGTCCCAACCAAGCACCCAAGCTAACTGGCTAAAGTTGGCTAGCTTGCTAGCTAGTTACTTCCAGACACAAATGAGAGAACACCTCACTGACCATTTTACTCGCCGTAGCAGAGCTGGTTAGGCTGTTTACATGTTATCTAGGGCGTTACTGACTAACTATTACTTTTTTTGTCTAAGTTTACTGACACTGGTCATATTCAGCGGTTGTTGCGCGTTCGTAAATTCATCAGTTGTTCTGAATTTGCGAATGCAAGAGATATGCTAACTGGATAACAAAAGTTATTGCTAGCTAACCAAATGACAACTGCATCTCTAGTTGTGTATAGCCAATGAAAAACAATATGAGGGGAAAAAGTCCAATGGCATGAAATGACATCCTCCTAGCAGCTAGCTAGCTATCTATCTATCTAGCTAACGTTAGGCTCCGTGTTTTTAGCTTGCTACATAAATAGATATGCTAGTTTATTAGCCACGTTATGACTGACTTGTGATCATTGCCCTTGCTAGTTTGATTGTATTGACATTCCCAGCCTTTAGTTACCTTCGTCCGTTTTTGTCCAGAATATTGAGTCACTGAAACTGAAACAGTGGATCCCGAATGGAGGCAGCAAACGATGTACCAGGCCAGCTGTGATTTACAACCTGATAGCAATATTTTTGGGACTAACAAGAAATGTATTTTTGAATTATATTAATCATGCATTGAACTGCATACATCTATTCTGCCAACAATGCCTTAGTGTACATCATGGAACGTTGAGTCAAATATAGAACCTATTTTTAAAACCTCTTATAAAGTTGATTTTGTAGCATAAACTGGGAATTTGATATTTTTTACTGATTGTTTCATATCTGGAAAGTAGTTAAAACGCTATCAGTTCCACTTTAAACTTAAGGTCCCAGATTACTTTGTGTGCTAAACCTGAAATGTTTTATCCTGAAGCTATGGCCCATCTCTCTATCTGAGCTTCCGCTCCATCAACTCTGGCAGACTGTGAAAAATACATTATGGTTCCCCCTGAAAAAGTCTGTGCCTGAGCCACAGGCTGTGACCATAGCAAGGATTACGTTGAGTGAATCCATTCAGATAGAGAAAGGAGACACTTGGTTTTAAAAAATGAGGCTTTCGAAGCAAGTATTGGCAATAGTATAGTGAAAGCTGGACTTGCTATAGAATGTACAAAACTGCACCCTACCATACTCTTACAACCCAATTGAAATATTTCCATTGGTGTCTTTATATGATAACGACGGTGAAACCATTGTGTACAGGCTTTTGTTCTAGTCTAGTGTAGCACAAGAGGATGTGTGAAACTCACTCCACCGCCTGAAGTGTCCACACTTGCGCTGCCAAATAGATAGCTTTTCGATGGCGCGACTGGGTAAGGGGGTCACGTGTGTTTGCGCGGCAGAGGTTCTGGGTTCGAGCCTCAGTATGAGCCGAATCAGGAGGAAGTGGTACTCGCTAGCCAGCAGTGTGACGTTCTTTACACTAGCACTAAAACACTGCCAATTCAACTAATCATCGAACCCTTCATTATCTGAATAGGTGTATGAGTATATAGTTGGAACAAAAGCATGTACACCCTGTGGGTCTATAGGAGCAAAGCTCAACAATGAATAGTCAGACTACCTCATCTAATCTATCCTCCTGGTTGAGTTTCTTGATCATGAACATGTGTTTATGAGGTAAGATATGACTGATGGACAAAAGTGCACTTAATAATGTGACCCATGTTGCAGAGCCATCCATCATTCATGTTCCTCATTCTTTCCAATCAACAAATCAATTATATGGGCTCTCTAACGGCACAGCAACCAATAGCCTAATACAACATTGTTCAATGTCTATTACAATGTTATTAATTTAATGAGCAATGTTCAAGAAAAAATAATTGCATAGACAAAGTAAAAGTGTGACAAAGGCCTGTTTCATACTATAAATTATGTCCTTCAGTGTCCAGAGTGTGCCTCTGTTGATTCTATAAAACCGAGGACAGTGTAGCAAAAATGCCCCAACATAATCTCCTCAACAGCACATAACCACATATAATCCCTAATTATTTGGATCTTGATCAGTATTCCAAGAATAAGTGTTTCCATCTGCTGGTGAAAATGGGTTATTTCAGTGGATTTATCAAGGTTATACAGTGTAATAAATACCATGAAAAAAGGAATCCTTAAAACAGACAGTGGGGTATACCAGACAGAAGGGTAGGTTATTTTGAGGAATATGTGAGGGTTTTATTTATTTTACATTGATATGCCTGCCCTTAGCCTGTATAGATCTAACACAAAAATATCAAATCACTGATGAGCTATTCATGGCTAAAGAATAGTTGTGGCCTACATGAACACAATGAGTCTACTGTTGTCTGCATCCTTGCTCTGTGTGTGACTACTATCAGCACATGTGCATGACTGTAGGCTATGTAACCTATCAGAGGGTAAAATATGCAAGAGTACTGAGCAGGCTTTGAGACACCGCCCACTCCTCACAACTTCTCAGCGCTTCCATGTATAGACGTTAAACACTACACATTCTGTTTGCTGTAGCAGTGATTCAGCTGTCTGCATCCTTCAGACTCCCCTCAACTATCAACACAGAAGGAAAGACAAGAATAGTGTCACATCATGCTCCAAAGTGAACAGTCTCTCCTCTGGGACCTGGCAATAGCCTATACTGCATATTGACTTAACTTCTACCCATTTTGCGCATCCCATAATTGAAATGCATAGCAAAAAGCAATTGTAGCCCATCATAAAATAACACATTTGGGAGCTTCATATTAGGCTAACTATATTTTCTGGTATTTGCTCTAGGAATTAAATGGTTTGAAAATAGACCCTCAGTATTTATACATCATTGCCCCATGCTGGCTAATAAACATATAGGCTATGTAAACCACCATGGTTGTCTTATGTCTCCTGTGACTGTGATGTTTTTAATCAATGCAGTTGAAAGCATTGTCTATAGCATAAATGGGTTTAGTGGGCACAAACAATATTTAGATAGGCATATATGATAGCATTCTTACAATAGGATAGCCTCCTTATGATAGGCTACTTTATCACTATTGTTAAACAAACTCAATAACACACTGATGGTAAAGTTCATTAATAAACGCGCTCTTACCTGGGGGACAGTTGCAATCAGGAGTATTGCTAACTTGTCGGGCAATCCGTATCTTCGAGAAATTTTCATAGGAGCGCTGTAAATGTAAAACAAACATCAGGCTACATTACCTAAACTTGAAAAGCAGAGGCTAGATTAAAGATTAAAACAGATTAGGGAATACACTCATATTGTTAAATAAATAATAATAGGCTACAAGCGTTCAGTCATTTGCCAACCAGGCCATATTGGTAGCAAGTGCACGTGTGATGCTTACCTGTGACAGGAGCTCATCCACTCTCTCTTGAATCAATGAATTAAACTGATCCACGGAAAAGCTGGGGACTCCGTGAAAGATTTGCTCGCCATGTCCAGTTTCCAAATCCAGAACCCTGTCCGTGATCTCTGATGTTTGCACACTTAATAATATGCAAAAGGAAAGGGACGCCACAGAGAATAAAGACGAGATAACGTTCATGACAGTTATGCTGCAATATTGCTGCTTCAAAGATGCCGCTTCTCTCTCCATTTTTTCCGTGCACTTAGGTGATCCCCTGGTTTCTGCAACTTTTGACTATTTCTTGACCATGCAAAACTAAGTGCAATCTGCATGTACAGTCCGTCAAGAATGATTTAAATTCAGGCACTCAAACTCTATTATGTCTAGCCTATGTGTCTGACGACGCAACGTCAACGCACAATGAGGTAAACTGGTCCTACAGCGACAGTGAAGCGCTCGCACCAAAGACCCTCGCTCTGAGGCGCTGCAAAACAGTGCAACCTGTGACTGATTTCATGGCTTGAAGCAACCCCTACAAAGTAATTGCACTGCTGGAGAAAATAATAATCGACACCGTAGGCTACTTGCAGTAAAACCATGAAAATAAAACTGGCAAGGTAGAGGCTGCTACAATGAGAGCAGAAATCGCACTTGAATTGCAAATGTTTTTGCACAGTGCACAGAACAGAGCACGCTCCCTTTCGTTATTACAGTAACAGCCTCCAAATCTGTCCTGTCTAATTAACATAATTTATTGACAGGCTCCTCTCATGCTTCTGGATCCAACAATCACATGTTATGTATTTAATTTGACAGGACAAATGGGTGCCAATTTAGAGATTAAATTACAGACAATATCAGATAATGTATGATCTGTACTGGCTTTTACCCATGATAAACAATTCTCATTTTTAACAGATGCAAATGCCACAATTGTCTGACAAACTACAACTTTAAAGGGAAACTTCATGCTAAACACTATTTGTGATGAGAGGTGTTTCAGTGATAATTATGCACCATAGCTGTATTTTCGAATTTTCACACCAGAAGAGTTCAACCAATGATACACACACACCCATACCGACACATTGGTTGGTTGAGCCTGCTGTCTGATCTAAAATGAATTGAGTCATGTTTTGTAGCAACTATTGTGGCATTTGTGTTTCTAATTGGTTTTACAAAAAGTAATCAACGTAAAGGCATATCGTCTTTTTTTTTTACCCAACTTTTAACCTAAATCCAATGGCCGTGATTTTTTTTGTTGATTTCATGTTGAATTCACATTAGTTGACAACTCAACCAAATGTAAATCAAAACTAGATGTTGAACTGACGTCTGTGACCACTGGCATTGGACTTCCTATCTGCCACGACATTGCAGGATATCTAGGTTGACTCATTTTGTAAAGACTACAGCCTGACGGGAGCCCTTCTTCCTTGTCCAATTGTGTTCCCACCCTTGAAAGGCGGGCTTTTCAAAACGGGGGTGGTACTAGTTTCTACAGGTTCATGGGAGCTATGTGCACTGTCTATCCGAGATTGATAAATAATTTCAATGGCTGCTTCTGATGATTCATGAAGATTGATTGAGTGATGAGAGGGGTGCTGGAGACTGCGGCGGCACCCTAGACCAGCTGGACTAGATGGGCAAATGACAATCAAGTAAGTTGTTTTGCTGTCGGTACCTATCTAGCAATAGAAGCTATCTTTTTACACGAGACAGTGTTGTTCAGTACAGTATAATTTCGTGATCGATTCAGCCATAACGGGGCTTGCTAGTACCACTACAAGGCAAGCTAGCCAAGTTAAGCTGGCTTTGTTTGCTATACACAAAATGTACAGTAGCCTAATGTTATAGCTAGCTAGCTAACATTAGCTAGCTAGTCTAGCAAGCCTCAGTGCATCTCATTAGGAGCAACATTTGATAAATATGTTGATGATGATGATGAAGAGTAAAGGATGGGCTTTATGACTCATATTAGTCTTTGAGTAACTATACCTGTGTGTTGTAGCTAGCTCGCTAGCTAACGTGTGTCTGTGAGATGTGTGATGTTCTGCATTGAGCTGCTACAGTAGGAATACAGACAGTACACAATGATTGCCCATGAAAGTCTAATATCGTTTTGTCATTCTCTTACAGACAATACCGCTTGGTGGTTTACAGATTATTTTTGGAGTGACTAGACATCAAGATAGATAATAATAAGAGTAAAATAAAGAACAGAGTAGCAGTAGCATATAATGAGTGTTTGTGTTGTGTCGGTATGCGTGTGTGTGTGTAATGTATGTGCATGTGTGTGGGTTTTGTGTGAGAGTGTCAGTGTGTGACAATTTCGATACCTTTTGGAAACAAAACACTTTTTATAAGGAGGATGGGATCCACCCAAATCATTTGGGTTCATGGATCCTTTCACAGCATTATGAGGCTGCGTTGAGACAATGACTTATCAATGACCCAAGCCCAGCTCAGTTAACCCTACACTGAAAAAACGGGACGAGGTGGGCTGTCAGATTTACGAAAACATATTATGTGTGATTTGTACTCTCCCGAGTGGCGCAGTGGTCTAAGGCACTGCATCGCAGTGCTAGCTGTGCCACTAGAGATCCTGGTTTGACGTGACCGGGAGACCCATGGGGCGGCGCACAATTGGCCCAGCGTCGTCCAGGGTATAGGAGGGAATGGCCGGCAGGGATGTAGCTCAGTTGGTAGAGCATGGCGTTTGCAACGCCAGGGTTGTGGGTTCGATTCCCATGGGGGGCCAGTATGAAAAATAAAAAAATTATGTATGCAATCACTAACTGTAAGTCGCTCTGGATAAGAGTGTCTGCCAAATGACTAAAATGAAAATTATTTACTCAAACATGTTTTGTTTCTCCTCTCAACGCGATTTCATTGCTTGCAATCAATGCAACACGAAGCAAAATCAGATCTACTACATTTTTACATTACATTTTAGTCATTTAGCACTAGTTTGAATCATGTAGGGGGAGTGTGAACCAATAAAGCTAATTCATGACAAGTAATGAGGAACAATTCAAACCGCGCCAGAGAAGAATCTTCCAGAAAGAACGCTGGCGCGTTAGCGGAGAAGACAGTACCAATGCTGACACATGTGAATATTACAAGTACCTAGAATCTTGGTCAAGGTCTGTGTGGTTGTAGTCAGAGTTGTAAGCAGTAACGTTATTAGTGATTGCTCCATATCCTCATTTTGTGCTCTTGAGTCTGAAACATATTGGCATGGCAGCTAAAGGTAAAAGACGATGTTGCTAGCTAGCTTCTGAACAGTAAAACAGGACTAGGTCAATGATTAACATTATGTAAGGAGGTAAAGTTAGTTGGCGAAACACCATGATATTTACCTATTGGTCAAGAACTTTGAATTTACCAAGCCAATAACTAATTAAGGTTTGCTGAGGAGTGCACACCGCTTGAGCTAGCTAAAATGCTAACTTGCTAGCTACCTAATGCTTTGGTGCTTGTGCACGACATCGTCTGCAATCACATTGCAGCAGCATTTAGTGCGGCAATTTTTTTTTTCTTGTGAGGTAAAAGTTACAAATTGTCAAAGTTAATGTATTTGCATCAAATTCGTGGCATTGAATGCTTTTAATTTTTTATTTTTCATTACATATTTAAGATCTAATGATTATACACCTAATCCTATGGGATTGGTGCTTTCATGCAGTTTAACAGTTTGCCCATGGCTGCCTCCATGTTGGAAAACGTGGTGCAAAGGTAACATACAGACTTATTGAAATGGGATGTGGAGTTCATTTTAGCATTTTAGTGTTACTCTATATTATGGGTGTCCATTTATCAATACATTTAAAATGATTTGACAAACAAAACAAAAAAATCAACGTATGTGCATATGAGTGGATGCATGCATAAATCAATAGATAATTTAATCAAACATTTCATAATGAAAATAAATATAATTTCATGGACAAAATGTATATTTACATGTCCATGATGTTTGCCTACTACATTTGTGCTGCTTTGTCTACCCATTCAAAGGCTAAATAGTGTTGGTGAGTACTGTTATCAGAGGTTGTTTTAATACCCCCAAAAAATTCTCTCAGAATGTCAGTCTTTAGGTCTTATGGTATTTCTGTTCTCTTTTTTTCAGTGTTGTGTGAATGTGGAAATGTAAGGAGTGTTCAGAATTGGTGTCAAGTAGGTCCCAACTTTTGCATCATTACAAGTTAAAGCACCCACATTACGGCCGTACTGTCCATTACCCATGTACATACATTGACTGTCCATGCGCATTTAAGACCTGGAATGCCTTAATTGTGTACCAAAGTAAAGTCCACTCAACAGAGGTTACTAAAAATCTCACAAACGTGGCAATATTCAGTTGTCATCTATGTGCTTGTAATGATTTAGCATCAGAAAATGAATATTTTGTACACATCAACAGCCATCTCAAGAGTTATGAAACTATCACTTGTATGTTTGTAGGCTGTAATTTTCAGACAAATCTCACAAAAATCACAAACATTGCTCTCACACATGGTTGGATTTTAAACCTGGAGTAGTCACAACTACTAGAGTATCTTCACCATCAGCGGATGAATCACTTGCAAATAGTCAGGAAGAAGAGTTTGTTGATGATGCCAATGCTTATTCTGATTTGTATTGTACCACTAAAGGCTTAGCAACTATTATTGAGGAAAGATTTGTAGCTTCTCTACTGAAATTAGAGCATTTGGTCCATGTGCCAAGCTCAGCTATTGATGAGTTTTTAAGGGAGCTCCATCATGTGATCTGTTCCGCACCTGTCCCTTTATCTAGTGACTTTGTTAGTGGCATCTTTCGTCAACATAACCTCCAAGGGGATGAATCGACCATTAAAGAAATTGCTGTTGCAGTTTGTTCTGGTAATCCTGTGCAAAAGTCTATTGAAAAAGGTGGTTGTCTTCGCACTGCTAATCAGCGTAAGCAGTATTACAAGGAGAACTGCAGTGTTGTGGAGCCAATTGAATACATACTCAACGCTAAAAATAGACACACTTTCCAGTATGTCCCAATACTGAAGTCATTACAGAAGCTTTTAAGTAGAAGAGACATTGTTGATAAAGTAGTTGAGAGTCATTGGGGACAGTAGGACATTAATATTGGACCATCATATTGGACCATCAACTCCCGAGTGGCGCAGTGGTCTAAGGCACTGCATAGCAGTGCTAAACTGTGCCACTAGAGATCCTGGTTCGAATCCAGGCTCTGTCGTAGCCGGCCGCGAC